GGCAGAATGCGGAAGTACCGCCCGCTGAAGGTTTGGCCACGCCCCAAAATTCTGCTGACCGCCTGCAGAAAAGCGCGAGTTTGCGGACCGCCTGCCCCCGGCGATTATCTGAGTAAGTATCTAAGTAAGTAACATTAGAGCCGTCCCAACAAATTTGGCAGCTGTCATAACCCCCGATGTATGCATCCTATTGTGGTAATGTTCTGAGCATGCATGGCTTTCTCGGTTCACAAAGATCAACTACTCAGCTCCTGGCGTGATCAATGGTCTAGACATGTAAATTGGCAGCTCCGGTCCTGCGTTGCTATGAAGAGCAAGCGCGATGAGTCAGCAACCATTGTGATCGACGGTCAAATTTTGGTGCTATTCCAAGGATAAGTTAACAGCGGTCGTCGCCGAATTCTCAAAAGTTCGCTAATATAGCGAGGAGCCTATTATATCATCTCACTAAACTCAAACATATAGATAGGCCCGTAGTAAACCCTCCATCAGGGCATCTCTCTTGACGCGGATCGGGGGTGATCTCAACGCGCCTCATTCTAGCATCCGGCAAGCCATTGATCTGGATGCGGATCACTTCCTGGACATCATAATCAAGTGCACTCTTGAAAAAGTGGCTACTTGAGTATGTTTGGTCGAACGGGTAAGTGATTGGAATTACATGCGCGCGGCCGTCGTTCGACTCCGTCTAGCGAGACAAGTTTTGCTGCATCGCCGGGCAATCTTTGATAGCGGCCACTATCGCAATCGATCACGACCGCTATCGAGGATTTCGCCGAGCAATGCACGGATAAAACAAAAAACATCTTGTAAAGAGAATTTTATAAAAAAACGAAATGGTTGCAGCGTGAATTCAATGAAATGAACAAATGAGTTCTCATTCTGAACAACTTCAAAAAAAAAACAGTGAAATTTACAAAAAGGAGAAGAATTTGTTTTTTTTGTTTTCCTCGCCAGGATCAGCTGTTCATCGATCCTCTCCTATTCGGGCGCGGTTGTGCAGTTTCGCGCATTCTAGTCTGCAATATTATGCAAGTGTCCTCTAAGTTACTTATGAGCAACTTACGGGACTTTTCTCTGCGTCTCATCCCTTGCACACTATTTCGGTCAATTCATCTCAAAATCGAGGCTGCTCTTACGGATTTCAGGTGAATTCATCGCGGCACATGCCCTGACGCTAACCCTTCAGATCAGGTCGCATTCTTAAGCATGTGAGAGTGACCGCTAGTCAGTTTATCTTAAATACCTCAACTCAGCCCCTCTGTTGAGATCTACGGGTCATAGTCTAACAAAGATTTTTTGACAAAAAGTTTGTAATGCGATAGTGGCAGTGTGCCTTGTGGAAGAATGCTAAACATTTGCGCAGCTCAGTAAAATTTACAAATTTTTTGTTTGCAAAACAATTGTGTAGCAGAATTGCGGTGTGAAGCTGAGCTAGTTCACGCGTTTATATTACATTGAAAAGCTTCAACTTTAATTGAACTGAAATGGAAAGCAAAATCAAGTGGCTTATGGAGTGATCTGTGAGGGGAATAAATAGATGCATCATGTATTTATGTATCATAGTTGTGATTATTTGCGTCAAGTTTTATCAAAAAACTTCAACTCAAAGTCTTAAATCAGAAACAGGCTGTTCCTAGGTAAGGAAAAAAAATGAACTTCTCAATGTTCATCTGAGACTTAATCACCAAAAATAGGTGTTCTTTTGTCCCGTGCTTGATGAAAAAACGCGTCAACGGCACAGCTCGGCAAAAAAGTGGCCAAATGTTTGTAAACAGAATGATTTCGTATGCAGAGGTATAAAACTAAGCTAGGCTGCTGACTATTTGTATGTCAGATCAAAAGACCTCAGCTCCCATTAAAGTGGTAAATTAGGGAACGTTGACATAAATGGTGGTTTTTTGTAATAATTCGAAAAGGCAACAAACAGAAGTACCCGTGAGTTTTGAATGCGCATGACGCAATGCAACAAGAAAAACGCAAGCAGTGGTCGAGGCTGCAGTACCAGCATCATTGCACAATTTGCTATATACAGCGGAAAAGTGCTTGATACCCTTTTCTCCTTGAGGTTGCTGAGCTTTTGGAGCGAAGGCCAGCTCTGTGTGGCTGTACAGCTGCGAATGCGCACCCCGCGAGACCACGCCCCCAGAATTCTCTGCGGTCGACTTCGCTCCCCACTTTCAGCGTTCCTACTTTCGTAAGTACCGCCCACCGAAACCGCTTTCGATGTTATATTATAGGATGATTAGTGAATCAGTAATCACAGGTGCTAAACTGCACCCGCGCGATGCGACCGCCCTCGGTTCCCCGCTATTGGAAAATTTTTTGATTTGAGCTAATGATTCTTGATATAATAACGACCTTAACACGTTTCGGACCGCGAAATCGCGCGCGGCGAAAAAGAGGGTACTTTCAGCCGTTAGCCAACAAAAGAGCCTTAATTCATAGACTGTGTGCTACATCTGTAATCAGCATGTCAGATAAGATCTATACCCAGAGTTCTGGATGAATTCTAAGTGTTTAAATTTTTCGCCTGAGAAGGACTTCTGTGCTTTCCTGGAAGATAGGAACACGAACTCAGTTTCTAATTGTGTCCAAAAGTATCTATTTTGTACACAGTACACATCATTACTGAAACCACGGTTTTTCACTTTGAGATACAAGCAAAGAAAAGTTGCGACGTCGCACGCGTCGTTCGCGTTGCCGCACTTCGTTGCAACTGTTGTTCGATTTGTCCTCATATCTTCTAAACAAATAGCGTCGGCACAGCTCTAGAGAGTCATTTAAAAAGGAGGAGCTTACGCCTCTGATTTGATAACCTTGGACAAAAAGAAAACCTCCTGCAAACATTGGAAGGATTCTTGAAAGGCGCGTGCTGCACTATGTGCAGCACCGTGTTAAACGACGGCGACAAATATTCGTTTTTTGCACATGCAAAGACGGAATTTGCCTAGCTTTTCCGCTGCTCACCCTTTCGGTTGTAGCTTAAATGTTCCAAAGAGATGGACTCAACATGAAAAATTACTCTATCAATCAAATGAGATCCTATTTCTAATCACAAAGAATCTTGATGTATATGTCGTTGCATCATCTAGTTTTCCCACTTCGTTTGCGCTCTTGCTCAGAAACATTCAGACAATTTCAAGAGAGACTTTTTAGTTGTTCTAACACCTTTATTTTGTGACACAGTCTCAACTACTCGACTGGACTGAGGTAAATGTTTTGTAGGCTTTTTGTCAGATAAAATGTGTGATTTTCAATGACGATCGACCTTTCGGGCGACTAGCCCAACCGATTTTGCACAAAAAAGTTATACATTTATTTATAACTCTCATGTTTTTTACTCCCATCTACAGTTTGCCAAGGACTTGATTTCATATGAATCGCGTTAGAAGATTGCTGTTCTTGGTGCTATATCCAAGTGTTATCGGTATTAAGCACAGCAACTTTCTCAACACTCGGACCGGCCGGCGACCGCGCCAAGACGGTCTGTAACAATAACACCGATATTTCGGCCCGACCGGTCACCGGCCGGACGCCAGCCAGCATGCGATAGTGGCGCAACGAAATGGCACTGGGCCACAGTAATTCTTTTCTCTCAATTCCAGCTCTCGTAGCACTGTGATCTCAATACAGGGTAATACAAATCTACATCAACATATTAATTATTACCATAACAAAATGCAAATTAACCTTGACAAAAAAGGTCGCTCAAAGATTTGTGAAAGATTCTTTGAGGTACAAAGCTGGTATTTTTTTTGTTTATGTGCAAGGATCATTTGGTGCAGTAGGTTCACATCGTTGAGCAACTGTTCCGAATGCACCGGTATTCACAGATTGTTCTATTTTTTGTATTTCTGAATGCCACCCTATCACATGTAAGTAATAATGAGCTGCATTCGATAACCTGTAAGTGAAACAAACTATTGACAACTTTTTGACTGACACTAGAACTGAGAACTTACATGCTATGCATAGATTGGCGACCGCAACGCTATTTTTCAATGATGTTCAAAAAATTACATCTTTTGGAGTGCTTCCAGCAGCTGTGACAAAAGCATTTCGCTCTAAAAGATTTGATTTTCTTAGCATTTGGACAATCTTCCACTTGTTAGTGCAAATGGCCGTTGGCAAATGGAAGGCCGCTTGGTATGAATGGGGTAACCAACAGACAACTGTTCTCAGTCATAAGTCACCCCAGATCTATGCATCGGCAATGACAAATTTATGCACAGTCTATCTTTTGCTTTTGGTAAAAAAAGAGTTTATCTAAAACTGAATGCTTCGCATGCAAATCAAATAAGCATCTAACAAGGAAAAGATACTCGGTGACCGCGGCCATTTGTAAGGCGGCGTATATTGTAAGATGCACTTCGAAACGCTGATTCTAAATTTTGCTCGATATCTGCGAAGCGATCTCTTGAAGGAAGTTATGAACTTTTTTTCGTAAAAAATTTGCGTACTTTTTGGTTTAATTAATATCACCAATCTGTTCAGGTTACCGTTTAAAGCTATTGAAGATAATCTTAAAAGGAATACTGTTATTATACGTATCTAAATTATATTCAGTATTTAAAAAGGAAAGAAAATTTGTTATTGATGATTTCGATCCTCCGCAGTAGCACAGTTCATTCATGGAAAAATTATCATAACTCCACCCAGGCTACCGTTTCTCAGATATGGAAGACAGTACTCGAACCAGCACAAAAGGCGCATCTTTTGATATACGAATCATTATGAATGGCCACGGTGACCAAGTATCCTTCTCTTCTAAGCAAACTGGGACAAAGCGGAATACTGGGTGCAAGAAAATTTCTTCTCAATTTGGCTAATTTTAAGAGTTTCAAGTAAGATATGCTGAATAATTCTCTTTGAATAAATGTGCTATTTAGACGGCGGAGGCATTCTAACTGCAACTGCCACTTCTTGCCGATGTGTATAGTTCATCTTGTTGTGAAGGTGAAGAAAACTTCTCGAAGCAGATCCAGATTTATTCACTGCTTTTCGTTATTGCAAAGAGCTTAAGTCAACGATAACATCAAAATATGCGCATAGATATTACTCTAGTGTAAAGCCATTTTTTTGCATACGTACGTCCTCAGATTTTGGATGCAGGGAAAGTTTGCCCATTTATGAAGCCATGTTTCATCGCCGTTGACATCACTGAGCAACTGAAATGGAATTTGTGTTGGGTTTGTGTAAACTGTCTGAAAAGCTTATGAAAGCTGAATAGCAATAGAAGAGCAAGAAAAGTGATGCTCAGATGAAGCTATCGATACCGAACTCGAAACGCTAAGCTCAGTGTTTTTGCCAACAATTATCAAGAAGCAGACGAAAATTGACATTAGGGTTCCTTCATACTACGCCGCAGGACGCGGCAGCTTGCCGCGTGCGCTGCGTGCGCCGCAGCACGCAACGTACGCCGCTATAGAGTGAAAATACGCCCGCGGCAGCACAGTTTCGCTAGTTGTCCATGTATTTCCGGATCTGCTGCACGTTCGTGTTTCTCAGAGACTTATTCTGCAGAATTTGCTATCTTCTTTCTCTTTTATTTTTTCTCATCGTTAATCAAATGTTTCTTCGTCCATTTTGAATTCGTGTGCTCCCCGACATTTGATTTTGCACAGTTTGAATCATGACTTACTGCAAACTACATAATCTGATTCTAGTATTATATTTTGTTGTTGCTAAGTCTCTTATACAAATACATCGTCCCAATGAAGGGTTACGATGAAAGGACAAAAATTTTAGTACCTCATGCGTAGAAATAAACAAAGTAGCGCACTGAAGTCATTGATGATAACAAAATGAAGCGAGATAAGTTTCATGGGATAGAGGGCGCACACAAAATCAAAACCGAATGAAGAATCATTTGATCGCGATGAGACAAGGTGAAAGAAAAGAAAAAGATTGCAAATTCTAAAGAATTACTCTCGAAGACACGAATGTGCGGCAGATCCAGAAATCTTATATATAAAGCTGAATGTCTGTTTGCATGTCTGTATGTCTGTATGTCTGTCTGTATGTACGTATGTTCCGAATAGAAAATTCTATTTCTGAACCGATCGGGACCAATCTTGGCACACATACACTTCGGGGCAGGGCGGGTGTCATAGACTACTTTTCGTTATCGATCGATATCGATTTTATCGATTTTTTGCAAAGTTTGAGCTACAGGGCTGGGAGTTGGCACAGGGGGTAATCGAGCATGCTGATTACAAATATATTATTGACAGGTGCGGACGGAGCCGGGTTTGCCAACTAGTACATCGATAGACAGTGAAACTGTGCTGTCATGGGCGTATTTTCACTCTACAGGACGCAGCAGGCTACGGCGTACGCAGCATACGCGGCAGGCGGCCGCGTCCTGCGGCGTAGTATGAAGGAACCCTAAGAAAGTTTAACCTCCTCAACCGCTGTATAACCGTTCTTCAAAAAAAGGTAGCGGGACTAGATGCTGAAACTCTACACGCCAGGTGGGAATTTTGAAGAAGAAAACTCAAGTTTACATGTGTTTATATAACCACATCTAAGCAAATCCCAAAAAGTGTGGAGCCGCTCTTTTATGAAGCAAACCAAGGTTTACAAGATCGGGGACCTTCCTAAATCTTGATTGCAAAGTTCAGAGCTAAATCCCGTAAAACAATTTATTATAGAAATCGGATCTCTGCTCCAAAAAATTTTCGCTGACATTCGATATGTGATGCACAGCTTTACATGAGCGTGGTTTGGGACTGAGCTTGCCGTTTTTAGTCGACGTTTCGTGTATTTCAGGGTTTTTTTAAATGTTTTTAGGGTCTGGAATTCGCCTTTGGTTTTTTTCCTGGTTTAGATGTTATCAGAGTCTGGCTTCAAACTTTACATAAATCTTTATGCCCCTGTTTAATGATCAACTTGGCCTGCTTTCGTCTATTAAACTGAACTGGCACAATCTGATGTTTGCCTAGTTGTGGTTCCATCTTCTTTTCACAAACTTAATATACCTAGGTCGTATCAAAAGCAATTTTGTTTAACGAGTACCACATCCCAGAGAACAAAGAAATGGAGGATTCTGGTGGCATTTGATGCAGCCATCTTTTAAAATCTTTAAACTGTTACATCTTCATTGAGGGATAGAGCACTTGAAGGATTATTGAGGACTGCAACCCATGGTTTTGGTATGACCAAGTTTTGCAATTTCCAATCTTCTATCTGAACTCCTCTAAAAGCAAACATGCTAATTGTATGCGTGTTACGATTAGTAGGACTTTTACGATTTTCTTATCAAACTTCAATAATTTTGCAGAAATAATGTATCTAGGGTACTGACGTTGTAGTAACGAATATCAGTGACGCTATCACCTCTAAACTTTCCAAATTTGGTGCCATCAATGCTTGATTATTGTTCCACCTAATTATATAATAAACACTTTGATTTGAGAATGTGACTCAAGATCTCGGCTGCAGCAGCGGGCTAATTGATATTTTTATGGATATCAAAGATGAATAGCTAGTGACTTGGAAAGACTATCATCCGATATTCTTTATTTGATGCTTATTGCTTATTTGCGTTATTTGATGCTTGCTAAAAAATAAAAACAAATTTTATAAAATGACTGGATTTAGCGGAAGTAGCGCCAAACAATCAAAAATCCAACAGATAAAGTGAAAATTTTTGTCCTTTTCCGTTATCTGGGCCCATTTTTTTCAAGAGGCTCTCATGAAATATGTTTTCTAATCTAACAACAATTCTTTATAGATTTCACGAAGATTCCTCCCTGCCACATGTCAGGAAAATATTGACACGTTTTGGTCCCCTTTGACATGTTTTTTTTTTCGAAATCTCTCCGGTGAGGTAAAAGAGCGTTTTTGATACTTAAAAGCTGTTTAATTGTTACTTATATCTTTTTCTTCAAACTTTTCGCCTTGCAAATTTAGCCAGACGAGAGTATAGATGATGGCTTGAAGCTCCTCGCTACTGCTTGTTTCGTAACTTAGATGATGGGACCCTAGCCCACTTCTCTATTCTGTGCAAGTCTAGTCTGTTCGATAATAACAGAATGACGTTTTTATGATAACTCTTCATTTTTGATACTGTTCAATGTAGAACGGAGCCACTATTGACTAAAAAACAGGTAGAATTTACGTCGCGTAGGGTAACCTCTTAATTAAATATGTTAAACATGTAAATGACCTGTCAAATTTTTTTGACACGAGGCGGGAAGGTTGACACGCCTTTCCGTGAATTTTGGACCGGATATGGTACGAGGGAAAAAGCAATATCCTTTTTTGAAAAAACCGGTCCGAATAACCGAAAAGTACCATAACTTCATTTCGAAGCTTCGAAATGGAGAGAAAGCTGCACCAAATTATTTCAGCTTTCTAAAATTCCTCATTCTGGGAATGCTACTCGGTCAAAACGAGTGAAACTGCTTCCATAACGGCCTACTTCCAGGCCTGAATTGTTCTCTGGAAGTAATTTCACACTTTTATGTCCGAACTCACATTTGTAAAAATAAAATCTTATGAACGGTTCAAGACGCGTTCGATGTAGACCTATTCTTAAAAACGTGCAGTGAGCAACATTTGAACTATCCGAAACGCTTTTCATTTTCAGCAGTCATTTCTCTAAAGCGGTTGTCGTAATCGTTGAAACAATCGCTAGAATTTCGAAATTTTTTACCGTGTTCAACTTTCGACTTTCTGAAGTTTTTGTTGAAAACTAAAAGTCAACGGGTTTTTGGGAAGCTTAGCTGGCTTGTAAAAATTTGTCGAATTTTTTTGATGCTACCATTTACTGATATCAGTCAAACCATACCGAGTAAGACAAATTGGCGATGGTCAAAGCTTTATTCGAAGCAGCTTTTCAACCCCTTTCTGATACATACTTTCCGCCTCCGAATTTACGAAGATATCGCAAAGGAACTTTTCATAATTGTTAGTCGACATTTCGGAATTCAATATTTCAAAGCGATAGATGCTAATTTGCCTTGTAATCAATGAAAAATGAAAATTAGTTTATATAATATCTAGTTGCCAAGATATCTAACAAGGAAAGGAAGGTTGGTCGAAGTGGCCTTTTGAAATGAAGTGTGCACTGTCTTGTAGAGCTTGGAACGCTGATTCCAAATCTACCTTTGCTATCTGCTGCGGGCTTCTGGGCGACGAGTTATGAAGGTTTTTGTGAGTAAAAATCTGAATGCAAAAATAGGGTAAAATCAATTGTAACCATTTCCCAATGTTCAAATGAGGCAGCAGCGAATTGGTACCTTTGAATCAAGAATATTTGTTGCACCGAGTGACACGACTGCCAATTAAGCCCTATAAAAAGTGTTACGACTGATTTTAGCCTACTCTTGCATTCAGATTTTTACTCACGAAAACCTTCATAACTCGTCGCCCAGAAGCCCGCAGCAGATAGCAAAGGTAGATTTGGAATCAGCGTTCCAAGCTCTATGATCGTCTCCACGATTCGTGTAGAGGTGTATTGCAGACTTTGCCTGATAATACAGGTAAACTTGTTAAATCTCCACGTCATACCATTGTTTTTTGTACTCTCTCGCTATCAAAAACCGCCACGCTTTAAGATGGCACAACCCCGCCTCTACACGAATCGTGGAGTCGATGAAACAAGACAGTATACACTTCATTTCAAAAGGCCACTTCAACCAACCTTCCTTTCCTTGTAAATAAGAACTATGAAACGACTTTGGTAAAGTAAAGACTTTCAGAAAATTATGTCGAAAAATACTAAAAACACGATAGAGAAAATCCAGAAAATTCGTTATTGCACTTCGTCACTCCATCCACCTGTTATCAAAGCCTTTCGGAAAATCAACATTGAAGCTCAAAGATGCTAAAGTTAGACACATTGTTGAATGCATTCGATTTTGACGACCATGAGAAAAAATTTACCTGGTTCAAAAAGTTGCGCGTCAGACACAGTCATTAAATTTTCCTAATTTATAATGAAGTCATACCAGCACACAGTTTCCCTCTCCTTTCGGACAAGTCGGAGCCCAGGGTTTGAAATCAACTTTTGTGCCGTCAGTCCACCTCCAATTATTGCTGTTCATTTTATGCAGTCCTATCCAGGTATAATCTCTCGAATCTGTGACTAGTTTATTCATTTTTGCCAACCCTGGAACACAAAAAGAAATTAAGTTGTCGCAGAAATTAACAGCAAAATAGCACTACCGGCTACGAATCTGTTTTCTTCAAAGCTGTGGATTGATGTCAAATGTCCACCAGCAACGTTACACATATTTTCCGCACCATCAAACGTCTCCCCGAAGAAGGTCTGTGTATTGCTCAGATCAGTGAACTTTGCAAGTGACTATGTGAGTGCGCTCTATGCAAAAAGTGGCAAATACGAAGTCAAAGGCTATTTTGAAATGCTGTTTCCAAAAAGGATGACGCGTCCCATTTAAAAAAGTGCAGTGCTTAAAGAGAAATTGTTCCAATTCTTGTTGTAGTGAGAGAAGTTTCCGGGAATGATTGCCACCCCAGCAAGTGCTTTGACAAACCCCGTTCCGCAGCATCACAGGGCGAGTTCTCCGGAACGGTGACTGTAGAGCACGGATGGGCGGGAGGAACGTCACACCCACTCAAAGGGGAGGAGCCAAGGTGGCGAATCCGTCATCCGAAACAATTTTTTTGGCAATTTTCTCGCTTCGGAAACAACTTTCTGCAGCGCGAGTTGTTGCAGGTATACAGTTAAGGAACCCGCTGCTGTTAGCAATTAAAAACTCATCGTCTACACTTTGGGTGGACGGTGCTTTCAAAAGTAAGAATTTGAGACAGAATGGCAATGTGGATACCTGAAAAATATAAAAGATTTGGTTTTGAAGCATGTATAACAGCAAGGTGTTTTCAAGAAAGTGCATTTGAAACGGTCGCAAGAGAAGGTGGGTTTGTGTGTGAAGCATATGTAACGCCAAAAAATCTCACTATCATAATGTGTCGTTTACATTTATAGTTTCGCTTAATGCTACGCAACACTCATCATTTTTGAATCATAAGCTGTCATCAACGGTAATGGCGCCCATGCTATTTTTGGGGTTTGATGTTTTGACATATGCACAATGCCAAATTTTCAGATGCATTTCGTATACTTTCTCCACTGATCATTCGTTCCAAAGAAGTCATACATACCTTATAGCAAGCTTCGGTTTTGTCGAAAAATGTCCACCCACTCTCGCAGCGTGCAGGACATGCTGGAACAATCTCAGTAATTAACAGGCAAACATATGCAAACAGCCCTAAAAATTAGAAATGGCTTCATTCGGTTTTGCCTAAGGGTAGCACTATTGAACAGAGCGTTCCAAAATTGCGCCTGCTGCTTGATCTTTAATAACCCTGTTAAGGTACATTCCGTATAGCTTGCGAGCGAATTACCGATCTCATTATTACTGTAGCTTACGGTAAGTTCTTGCAGCATATATGCTATTGTGAGATAGGTCATTTCTTAAAAATCTTTTTCAAAATATAAGAAATCATATGTAATTCAGTATGCAGATTTCACTACACGAAGACTTACGAGTTTTTAAAGTTTTTTAAATGGTGCAGTCAAATTTTTGACCAACTATAAAAAAGGTGGCCACGTACATCTATTTGGCACAATAAAAGAGGCGTCACGCTAAAGTGTCAGTTTCGCATCTGAAATCAGCCACTCTGATTAGCCTAGTGTAAGATTTTCAACTTGTTTGGTTTTTTGAAAGTGAAATATGCCTCAAATGAATTGAGATCCTCCTCAAAGTCTACCGTATAATCCTACTGTAACTAAGGGCCGCATGCATTAACATCTCCGCCAGGGAAGGGGATCGCAGCTAAAAAGAAAGCTTCATATCCTGAAGCTCCGAACTTCTGTATTCCTTGCTTTCTACCCATCCGTAAGTATTCCTACCATCCTTCACTATGAACACATTGAACAGGAGCGAGAAGCCGTACAAGCCGCAATTTCCAGCTGTATGATTCCCTGATAATCCCCGAGAGACGACCGTCTTTTCTTCGAAGTCATTTTTCTTTCTTCAAAGTTAGCGAGAACCTTTCGAAGTTGTACTGTTCATCTAACATAGCAGCGCTAAGCATGTTGGTGATGAGAACAAATGAGTTTTTGAAAAATCGAACTTTTCGTTAAACCTCAACTTTCGAACTGTGGTTCATCGCAAATTTCATGATTCCAAAACATCATGTGTTCTTATTAGCAACATGCTTAGCACTGTTTGGTTAGATAATCTGACAACATTGGAAGCTTTTCGTTAACTTCGAAGGAAGAAAGATGACTTCGAAAGCCGCCGAGGATCACGAGCAGAAGTGCGATAGTGGGAGCCGATTCTCCCCCTACCTTCATTTTTGAGCTGGTACAGGGTGACAACCTTCACTTTTGGAATAAAAAATTTTTCGCTGGACGATAAAGAAGGAAAATAAACAAAACAAAGGCAAAAAAGATTATTGAAAGCATATATTTATATATACACGGCATATATAATTGAGAAAAACGTGCTCAGTAAATGGTGTATTTGGAAGTAAAATTTAGCGAAACTGTACGGATTTTATTGAGTAAATTTTGTCATAATATACTGCGAAGGAAGTGGGTCGATCTAGGCAGTAACGGCCGAGAACCAGAATTTTGAATATTTAACTAGTGAAAAATCATGCGGAATTTCCACTGTTATAAATCTGTTGTTTGAAGATGTCAGCAGTTGCGACTTCATAGAGCTAGTGAAAGAATCGAGTGGATTTGAGAGATAGTCGTTGAAAACCAGAATTTCAAAAATTTACGCCATTTTTTTTGACAGTTGACAGTTAAACTCATATAAATCTTGAATGTGAAAGTGTGTGATGTTGCAACTTCATAGATTTTATAGCGTAAGGTTTGCTTTATCAGGATATATCTTAGCCGTTCCGATCCATTAAAACACCTTCGAGATCCAAGGTCTTGAAAAAGCAGGTAAAAAAGCGCTTTTTTCCACAGCTCATAACTTCTTCAGAACTGGATGAATCATGTTGCGACTTTTAGATTCTTCTCACCAAGAGGTGTCAGATGTTATATAATATGTGGGGGTTTAGAGCTTACTACGAATTATACCCGTGGGGGGAGGCTTTTCATATCAAAGTCTCCCCATCCAATACATTAAAGTGGGCTAGGGGGAAACTTTGGTATGAAAAGGCTCCCCCCCCCCACGCGCTAATTCGTGGGAGGCTCTAAACCCCCACATATTATAAATCTTCTGAAAGCTCTTGGTGAGAAAAATCTAACCTATGAAGTCGCAACATGAATCATCCAGTTCTGAAGAAGTTATGAGCTGTTGAATTTCAAAAAGCGCTTTTTTACCTGCTTTTTCAAGACTCTGGATCTCGAAGGTGTTTCAATGGATCGGAACGGCTAAGATATATCCTGATAAGGCAAACCTTACTCTATAAAATCTATGAAGTTGCAACATCACACACTTTCACATTCAAGATTTATATGAGTATAACTGTCAACTGTCAAAAAACACGCAAAAATGGCGTAAATTTTTAGAATTCTGGTTTTCATCGATTATCTCTCCAATCCGCTCGATTCTTTCACTAGCTAAAAGAGCAACATTCACTCTTTAAAACCTATGGAGTCGCAACTGCTGACATCTTCAAACAACAGTGGAAATTTCGCATGATTTTTCACTATTTAAATATTCAAAATTCTAGTTCTCGGCCGTTACTGCCTAGATCGACCTACTTCCTTCGCAGTATGTTATGACAAAATTTACTTAATAAAATCCGTACAGTCCAACAACTTTTTACTTCCAAATACACCGTTTACTAAACGCGTCTTTTAAATTTTTATAAATAAAATTTATAAATATTTTTAATATTTATCGTATCTGTGGCCCTAAAGAGGGCCGCTGGGTCACAGTTTGACCTAGAAGGATAGCTCTGTTCGTCCGTTCTACCCTCCCCCTCTCGCACCTCCCTTCTCCCCCCCCCCCCCCGTCGTTTTTGGGAGGTGAGTGTCCGACGCTACCACCTTCACTTTTGGCCGGTCAGTGGTAGCTGGGACCACCTTCACTTTCGGTGGGTCGGTTCCCCCCATCGCACTTCTGATCACGAGGGGATCGTGCAAAATGTTGGAAAATGCGGCTTGTACAGGTTTTCGCTTCAGTTTAACACATTCATAGTGAAGGATGGTAAGATACTTACGTGTAGTAGGCAGCGTGAAATCCAAAAATTTGGAGGTTCAGGACATGAAGCTTCTTTCAAGCTGCGATCCCCTCCCCAGCGTGGATGTTAGTGCATGCGGCCCTAAGAGAGGTTGAATGCTTCATGCTATTTATCTAATTGTAAGTCAAAGCCAGCTCTACAAAATGGTAAAAGAGGGCGTTAGACAATAAAGCAAGAGAATTACTAACGATCAAATAGGTAGTAGACTGTAGGCACAATCTTTGGACAGTCTGTACAGCACGTCCCAAAATTGTATCGAAAGTTAACTTCTAATCGCCAATGACTATTTCTATTTTGCCTGAATAGCTTTCGCGAAAGTTTAGGTATCATATCGTAAGGCTGATTTCAAATTGAACTTACAAAAAGGGTTACATTTCTTCTTCATTTTTGCATAATTACAGCGAAAATTTCAATAGAGTTTTGCGCCCATGTAAGCTTGCTTCAAAATATTGTCGAAAAGCTGCATCTTATGGCACCCTATAACTTCTGGGATGCACATATATGGGAATTGGTAGCGTCAGAGAAATAATTTTGGTGATCTCGAAAAAGCAGTTGTATGTGTCAAAATAAAATTATTGTTTGGAATTTTGTTTGCTTTAGATGTTGTCAGAGCTCTTCGAAAAGTCTAAACTATTAGGTTGATGCAAAAAATAATGAGCGTTTTCCTAGGGTTTTCTTCAAGACAACTTTTCTCCATCAAACGTCTTTTTTTGTAATGGTTTTAGCATATTGTTAGAAAGCTCTTTTCATGCTCTAACTAATGGTGTTCAAAAGAGACTTCTAACCCACTCTGTTAAGAATTTATAGAGCTTCAAATAATCGCACTCAAAACCAGATTTTCGTTGCATTCATGTTTCTGGCCAGAATTTGAGCGCGAATGAAGATGGTTTAACGAAACTTTAGCTGCTATATGTAACGGAAATTGTTTACATTATGCATATTTGATCATATTTTTTAAAGTTATCTAAAGTGAGATATCGGCGGCTTAACATGGGTAGTGGTTGTGGTCATTTTAGAGCCCATAACTTTCTTTTGTAGAATGCAGTCGCTCAATCTTTGGTCATCTCTGTAAGCGTGAGGGTAGGAGTCCTATTAGCAGTTTTTTCAAAAACATCCAGCTGTTCAGTACGCAGAAAATTAGAAAATTCTATACTTCGGGGTTTTAAGGCCTACTGAAAAAAATGCTGGAAAAGTTGATATTTTTGAATTTCGATTTTTCCCTCTTCGCTGATCTTTTTTCTTCAAACTGTTTCCATGTATGTTTGTACTATTGGCTTGCCGTTACAAGATAGGCTGCTTATGATTCATAATAACAGATTGTGAAAGGAGTTATGTTTTGTCAAAAACAAGACTTCAGAAAAAAACTTTTTTGTTTTTCGATCCATATTTTTCTGCCCATATAAGGTATGAGTATAGGTCAATGTGCGCTGTACTGCAAATGGTTCGCTGCATCTGCTGGTCTTTATCACATTTCAAAATGTAGATTTTGAAGAAAGTTGTAGCAAGTTAATGAGAAAAATGGGAAAACGCTCATTATTTTTGCATCAATTTGCATCAACCTAATTTAAGTCGGAAATCAAATTTACAAAGATAGTCAAGTCGGGTAGGTAGAAATCATAAGTTCGAGAACGACGATTATTCAACCATCACCAAAAAACTTGAAAAAAGGTTTTTTCATTTCATAATGACTGATGCTTAGGCTTTTTGATTAGTAACAGGCGTATTGTTTGTGCAATAGAAATAAAACAAAATTAATAATATTTGACGATTTTGAGTTGGATTCCTGACTTGGGGTGACAAGGAGTAGCGCTTGTCCAGTGTAGTGTAAGAAAAAATTGTGTAAAATAAAAAGCCGATTCATCTTTGAGACAAGGTTAACCATTATTGAAAGTGACAGTTTTAGCAGGGTGAAACTTTAGGACCTGCTGAAACTTAGTCTACGGAAGTTACTTACATGCTAATCGCAAAAATAATACTGAAAAGGCATTACAAAAGCTCGCTCTTTTGCTAATAC